AAGTGCCGTACTACTAGGAACAAGAAGCTAGTAGAAACAATAAGCTATCGCTTCTAGTAACAAGTGCCTTACTACTAGGAACAAGAAGCTAGTAGAAACAATAAGCTACTAGGAACAAGAAGCTAGTAGAAACAATAAGCTACTAGGAACAAGTGCATCGCTTCTAGTAACAAGTGCCTTACTACTAGGAACAAGAAGCTAGTAGAAATAATAAGCGACTAGGAACAAGTGCATCGCTTCTAGTAACAAGTGCCTTACGACTAGGAACAAGAAGCTAGTAGAAACAATAAGCTACTAGGAACAAGTGCATCGCTTCTAGTAACAAGTGCCTTACTACTAGGAACAAGAAGCTAGTAGAAACAATAAGCTACTAGGAACAAGTGCACCGCTTCCAGTAACAAGTGCCTTACTACTAGGAACAAGAAGCTAGTAGAAACAATAAGCTACTAGGAACAAGTGCATCGCTTCTAGTAACAAGTGCCTTACTACTAGGAACAAGTGCATCGCTTCTAGTAACAAGTGCCTTACTACTAGGAACAAGAAGCTAGTAGAAACAATAAGCTACTAGGAACAAGAAGCTAGTAGAAACAATAAGCTACTAGGAACAAGTGCATCGCTTCTAGTAACAAGTGCCTTAGGACTAGGAACAAGAAGCTAGTAGAAACAATAAGCTACTAGGAACAAGTGCATCGCTTCTAGTAAAAAGTGCCGTACTACTAGGAACAAGAAGCTAGTAGAAACAATAAGCTACCGCTTCTAGTAACAAGTGCCTTACTACTAGGAACAAGAAGCTAGTAGAAACAATAAGCTACTAGGAACAAGAAGCTAGTAGAAACAATAAGCTACTAGGAACAAGTGCATCGCTTCTAGTAACAAGTGCCTTACTACTAGGAACAAGAAGCTAGTAGAAACAATAAGATACTAGGAACAAGTGCATCGCTTCTAGTAACAAGTGCCTTACTACTAGGAACAAGAAGCTAGTAGAAACAATAAACTACTAGGAACAAGTGCATCGCTTCTAGTAACAAGTGCCTTACTCCTAGGAACAAGAAGCTAGTAGAAACAATAAGTAGTTGATGTAGTTTCATCATTTTTCTTCCACTCCCCACCTGGCATCATGCAGCCCGGCATCATGCAGCCACCACACGGCATGCAAGGAGTACCAGCTGGACCAGTTGAGCCTCCAAAAGCAAACATCTCAAATGCGGTGTGATGTCGGTTCTGTAGTCAGCCGTGCGCGGGAAGCTTTTCATAGCAAAGTTTCAACAGCTACAGTGACCACAGCCGAAATGGCACCCCACCTTGTGAAGGCCCGGCGCTACCTTCGGCCTCGCCCGAGCTATTGTTGGACTGAGGCATAGCGCCAGGACATCCACAGCAGCCCGGCATCATCATAGGTCGTGCACCCATCATCCTTAATTAGATGTCATGCCATTCAATTAGAAGCTTGGAAAGGAGTGGCTGCAAACAACATTTTGGTATGAAGCGGCACCTGCTGCTGTCTGCAAAACAAGCATCATTGGGTTCATTCCGGCCATCATGGGGTTCATCATCATGGCCATCATAGGGTTCATCATCATTGCCATCATAGGATTCACTGGTGTGTCTTTGTCTTTTCCATCCTCTTCCTCTTTGTCCTCACCACCGCTTTGCAATGAGGCAGCCTGCTGGAGGTATTTTTCAGACCACTTCTCTTCATAGTCTTCCTGCAGGGTGTCGGGTCAGGCCCTGCGCTGTGAGGCCATGTATTGATCATGGAATCATGGACACTGCAAAGCATCCCACAAGTCCTCCGTTGCAGGCTGTTCGGTCTCTTTCTTTTCCTGCAGTTTCGACTCCAAAAAACTAAAGAGAGTGCAGTGTCTCCTGAATTTCACGAGCCATCAATTCCTGCCTTTTCCCTGTCGTGGGCCATGCGTTGCCGTTCAGCGTGCTGAGCCGCTTGGAAGGCGGTGCCACCATGTGGCCGGACAGCCACCCACCTTGGAGAACCGTCCCTGGAACAAAAGCTTCCTAAGCGACAAACTTGCCAAGCATTTTGGGAGGACCCTGAGTTCCAACAATTCTGTCCAACTTTCAACACGGCTTCCCATCCATAGACTTGGGAGATCAGGTCCGCGGTTCTTTGCTGCATGAGCTGCTTGTTGTCGATCATATGGCTAGCCTTTGCTTCCACACACCTGTGCACCGAGTCCTCAGGACAACGCATGTCTACTGTGATCTCTGGGCGGGGGAGCTAAGCAAAGCAGCATGTCCCCGGCTCAAGAGGCTTTGCTCCTTGTCTGCGAACTTCACGAAAGCGAAGCCTCTGGAGGATCCGTCCGGCAATCTCTTGATGTCGACACTTTCCACCTGCATTGAGCCCCCGAGCTCGCCCACCGAAAGGGTGGACCAAATGCACGAACGGCACGCACGAGGCAAACAGAAAACCAGCGTGTTGAGCGTGCCTGGCCATATTTGGCGAAGTGACCAATGACCTTGTCTTCGCTGGTGCTTTTTCGCAGGCCGCCAACAAAGACAGTGGTGACCTTGGCTCTTCAACGTAGGATATGGCATGGCACAGCCCGGGAAAGTCCTCATCATCCATCAGCCCATGTCTGATTCATGCTTTGAAGCTTGTTTGGATCATGCTGGCCTTCCAAAATGCTATACAGCAGTAACAAAGTACCTGGCAATAGTACTTTACAAACATGCTCAACATGTTGATAACCCTTCGATTTAAGTCCATTGTTCTGCAATGCGGCTTTGTCATCCTCTCTCTTGGGCTTCTTCGCCATCACCTAATGGTGCTCAACCACAAGATCTTACAAGCTGCAAGCGTCATTTCATAGGATCATGCAAATGATAAACGGGTTGGACATATCAACAGGCATGCCCTATGCTGGTCGAACATGTTCAGGCCAGCGATTCGCTCCCAGACGCCCCTGACAGCCTGTTTCATTCTATCATTGTCTCCTGGTGCAACGTGGACCAAAGGCGAACAAAAAGGACAGCTTCAAACATCAATAAAGAGGACTGCTTAAAAGAAGAACAGAAGCTAACTTGGCAGCAAACAACCACAAGCATCTGCAAATCCTGCTGGCATGGCCATTCCAGGCATCATGGGCATGGCCTAGACTGCGCGAATCCAAGAAGCTTTCACTGCAGAATCGAGAGCAATTGAAGTTCACATCCATCAGTACTTCAATAAGTGAAGACGATCAGGCCACTGGTCACGTGCTGATTGGTTGAGACATGAACTGTCATGCTTCATGCTGCTATGCTGGAAGGCAATCTTTCTGTTTCCCCATTGCAGCAGCAAACTGTGTCCCCTATTCAATTTTGCAGTCAAGCCGCCCCAGGCATCATCATGCCTGAGAACATTCACAGCATGCACACGCTCACCAAGGGTTGTTCCCAGGGTTTGGGATTGGCCAGCCTAGATCAGCCTAGGGTGTGCAATCCCGAACATGCTCCTCCCGTGCAACTTGCCCAAACCCTGTCGCCTGGATCAGGCGCCTCCCGCGCGAAGAACGCGCGGTTTCTAGCCAGCCCTAAATGCTTGAGCCCGCATCTTCGCGCACCATATCTTTGCAATGCAAGGCACAACAAATCGGGGAATTATGTGCATGGGGAATGAGCTTGAAATGATTGAATAAATGTCAGTTTTAAATTTGTTGGAGAAAGCGGTGCGTGATCTGATCAGAGAGGAAATGATCAAAGACGAATAATTGAATCAACAAGCATTGAAGCTCTTTCTGGCTTTCGTCTCCAGAGTTCTTCCTGCCATTGCACTCACTCAGTTTGGGCGCACCTCACGCGGCCCAGCGATTGCAAAGCATCATCACAACATGTGCAAAGCAGGATGCCAAGACCAAGGCCAAACAAACATTGGAAGGGGCATACGTTTTCACATACCGTCGGGAATGGTCTTGTCTTTTGCATTGCCACTTGCCATTGGGCCTCCAACCTAATAGGGATGGCCTCCACCGAGTAGCTTCTTGTTACTGTTATGTTCAAGCAGGCCTGGTGCATCACTTCTGCACCGAGCAATGCTTAATGCCCAACATCGCTGCAGCGACCAAATGAGAGCCTCACCGCAGTGGTGTTCTTGTTTGTTTGGCTTTCATGCTTAGCACCTGTTGGTACTATACTTATATATAATGCATGGCTCTTGAACGCCCCTCGAATCCTGCCAAACCATCATCACCAGCTGGCAGTGACTGGCTACGGCTATTGCTTTTGGAAAGGGCAGACTGACTTGTCTAGCCGTCTTGTGACAAAGCCTCAGTATGGCTGGTACCGGTTCTCACCGCCAGCTTCTTTCACCGGCCCGCTGCCTGTGCGCTTGAGGCAGTCCAAAAAAGTGCGATTGATTTGCTGCATCTGGATGAACGTGAATGAACCTATTGACACATCGTCGTGGAAATGTATGTCTATACGCTACATTCGGGCATCATGACCGTGCACATATAAATATATCACATATATATATAGTTATATACATTATATATATATAATATTAGTATATTCATGTATATTCTATATACACAGTACATCATATTGTTGCATCGCAATGGATTCTAAGAGTTGCAGTGACCTCGACGGCGCCTTAGCAGGTCTAGAGTCTAGACGTTCAAGCTTTACAGGCTTCACCAAGCCTTCAGCGCCCTTTACCTCGCTGGCTTCAACACCTGGTCGGGACACGATCAAAAGAACATAAAGTACAAAATCCAGCCAATGGGGTTAACTGACGCTGGTCACAAGTTGCTGGTTTCAGAGAGATCTTCCCCAAGGTTGGCGTGGGCATTTTGTGGAGTTCAGAATGCAAGCTGTTGATAACAGCTGCTTGCACAAAGCAAGGAACAATTGATGACTCTGTACTGCTGTGAGCCCTGGCATCTCCTGGCCTTTGTCTTCTGAGTCTTTCTCTGACCCATCAGCTTGAGACTTATCCCCTTCTCCAGCAGGGCCGGTGCCTTGGTTTCGCGGCGCTTCTCTCTGGTCGAGCCAATTTCTACGCAATACATATGTGGCTGGCCTTTGGCACCCACTGGAAACTGCTCTAGAAAGCATGGGGCAGCATGATTCGCGGGGTTGCTGGCGAAGTTGCAGGGCATGTTGGGCATAGAGGGCATGCCACAAGGGCAACCCCCCTGCATGCAACCACAACAGCCGCCACAAGGGCAGCCGCCGCAAGGGCAGCCACCACAGCCACAGCCACCACAGCCGCCGCAGCCGCCACAGCCGCCGCAGCCGCCGCAGCCACAGCCGCCACAGCCGCCGCAGCCGCCGCAGCCGCCACAGCCACAGCCGCCACAGGGGCAGCCACCACACGGGCAGCCACCGCATGGGCAGCCTCCGCAGCAGCCGCAACCTGAAGGAAAGGCTGGGCAAGCACCATGCCACTGTGCCCTCTGATCGGGCAAATCTGAAAGGATCGGGAATCATGACTCACCCTCAGTGCTAGTAGCGATTTGGGATTGTCAGGGCCTGGCCTGGCATGCAGCTGCAACAGCCCCCACAACAACCTGGCATACAGCCACCACCGCAGCAGCCTGGCATGCAGCCTCGTCGTGCGGGCACAGATCGAAGTAAAACAGAATTTCCTCGCATTTGCATGGTGTATAATAGTTCAGTTGAAGCCATTGAAGCCATGGTTCAAGTATATCCGCCAACCCCAACCGATGATGGGGGAGCACGTCAGAGAACACTGTCCTGTGGGGTTCCGCATGAAATTTCTGGCCAGAGAGATGCTTTCAGCTAGATATACTTTAATCCGTGTCAGAAAGCAACGTTTGGAACTGAGTGATTGGCTTTGAGGATCTTTGAGTACCATTTTCTGTCTGGAATTAGATTGGCAAATAAATGCTAATAATTAGCCGCGTGGCGGAATCTAGCGGTGCCAAAGACAGGTGCCGAGGTTGCCAGAGAGAGGCTTTAAGCTAGTCGGTGGCATTGTTTGGTTGATTGTCTGTTTGGTTGAGGTGGAGGTAGTACAAGTGGACCCTGCGACAGGCTACGAGGCTGGCCAAAGAGAAGGCACAGGGCAAAGAAACTTCAATCGGCGACAGATCGAGAGCGATGTTTGGCGTTTGCAACTGGGTGACTGGCTTTGGGGAAGATTTTCATCCCCGTCTACATTAGGGGGGAGGGGTTGACAACCGCAGTTTTGTAAGGGACCTAGGGTTACAGTCTACAAAAAGCCCTGACCCAAGGGCATTGGGCTTATACAAAATGGCATGGGCCAGAGTGGGCTTGTACAAAAAGGTTATGCCTGAAGATCACTATCTTATGCTGAAAAGTGCATAAAACAGCCATTCAGCAAAGTGATTTCTCTACAAAATGGTATCAAAGACCTGGTCGAGGACATGATTTAAGACTCCATTTGTTGACCATTCCGGAACCATTCTGTAGAGAAACTGTGTGCGCACGCATCTGACTGTTCTTTTTTTAATCCAAACTTGAGCGGCGATTGTACTGTGCAATGGCATATGTTGAACATCGGACTCTAATAGACGATGTCAGAAACTATATGATTTTTTGTTTTTGTTTAATGAACTTGCGGTGCTAACGGAAAGTATATTAAACAGTGCTTACATCTAAAAATCTTGCTTACAGTACAAAATGGGGATGACCCTGAACTATCTCTACAAAATGTGAACCTCAGGTATTTGGAGACTAATTCACATTATCCATTCTAAACTTGACCTTTGCTGTCCTGTGAAATAGTGTAAAATGCATTCAAATGCCAATATGATTCTTTGTTCATGCCGACTTTGTGTGACATGCCAATATGATTCTCTGTTCATGCCCACTTTGTAAAGACAAACATTGGTGACAGTCATTGTGTAAACAAATCTTTGGTCCATCCTCATTTTATGAATCGTGGCTGAGTTTCTCAATGCTCTTTGGTCAGCGGAAGGAAGAGTTGGCACCACGTGTACTGGGACGAGTCCATTGGATGCAGAGTGGATTTGTTTTATGTACACCGGGTACGCCGCTGAAAAAGTTGTTGGCGCAACTCAGGGGGTAACCGGCATAGCCATAGATGGCTCAACACCACATACTGAACATTAAACATCACGAAAACTAAGGCTGCACCTTGACCAAACCAAGCGTTTTTGTAGATTCTATAGATGGCGCATCCCAAAGCTCTTTTTCCCATCCTAAAAAATGAACGCGGCAAACAAACACAAGGACTGCTCAGGAATCTGGACATTGAAGGATCAGTTTTCACCTCGGAGTATGTATTTGTATCTGACTCAGGCGACTAAAGAATCTGACTCCAAAAAACGAACACTCAAACGTGTACAAAAAGGGTACCCTGACCCCCTGTTTTTCCTTGATTTTGGCCCTGTACAAAAAGGGTACCCTGACGTCCTCATGTCTCATATAAATGTTCTCTAATTTTTTTTGATCATAACTTGGATGCCGATTTTGACTCTACAAAATGGGAGGGTGTAAGTTTCGGCATCTGCCAAAAAGTGCTTTGTTACAAAATGACCCCTTTGTAAGGGCCTCGAGCTACCCCTATCTGTAGAGGAAATGCGTACGGGGATAGATTTTCTGTGTAGAATTAGATTGATCATGATTGATGATATAAAAGCATGGCGGAACCGGGGCGGCGAGGCCGGTCTAGCGGTGCCAGGGACAGGAGTCAAGCTTGCCAAAGAGAGGCTTTAAGCTAGTCCAGCGCTGCGAGGGGCAGGTTTCAAGCTTGCCAGAGACAAGCTTGAAGCTAGAGATAGGGGTGGACTTTAAACCGCAGCACAACGCTTGAAATTGAGAGAGAACTTTCAGGCGCTCAAAATTCAGATGGTGTCCCAACATTTCCCTGACTGTGTGCAAAAGCATGCAGTGCTCGGGCAATTCTGGCGTGGCTGGCAGCCCCTTAGCCAGTCTCTGCTGTGGTCCAATTATGCCAACCCTGGGTGGTAAGATTTTCCTTCTGCTGGCTTCCCGGTCCTGTTATCCCCCAGGTCCTTGTCATGGTATCCTCAAATTGTTCTGTTCCCTTTAAATTGGACCAGCAGGCCGAGCCCCAGACCCACCCGCCGCCGACCATGAGCCGGACACATGATATACTTTGTTTTACAATGCGCTCTGCACCTGGGCAAAAATGCATCAGCATCGCTTGTGAAATTTCTTGGGGAAGCCAGGCGTGTTCAGTGGGTAGCTGGCCAAAGTTGGCCTGCACTCTTTGCATTTCGCTCTTTTGGTTGCCCTTACCCGCGCTACAACCACCAACCACGACAACAACAGCAGCAACAGCAACAGCGACAGCGACAGCGACAGCGACAGCAACAGCAACAGCGACAGCGACAGCAACAGCAACCAACAACAACAACAACAACAACAACCACAACCACAACCACAACCACAACCACCACCACCACCACCACCACAACCACAACCACAACCACCACAACCACAACCACCACAACCACACCCACACCCACAACCACAACCACCACAACCACCACAACCACCACAACCATGACAACACCGACAACCACGACGACGACGACAACAACAGCAACAGCAACAGCAACAACAGCAACAACAGCAGCAACAACAACAACGCCAACCACCAACCGCCAACAACGCCACTAACGCCAACAACGCCAACCCCCAACCACCAACCCACAACCACCCACCCACAACCACCCACCCACCCACAACCACCCACCCACCCACTTCACCACCATTTCACCATGTCCTTTCCTTCGTTGTGCCTCGTTGGCCAGTTTGGGCGCCAGCCTCTTAAATAGGTGAATCAGTCGAATATGCCGAATTGTACATGCGCCTGTGCCACCTGCAGTTGCTGTGCTTGGTGCCGATGATCCGCTCTCGGCAGCTGGTGATGTGCTGGGCGCAGCAGGGTCTGAGGTAGACTGTCCTGAGGCCCCGCCGCAGCCGGAGGCAGGACAACCACCGCAACCGCTGCCGCAGCCACTGCTGCAACAGCCGCAGCCCCCGCAACCGCAACCGCCGCAGCCACCACAGCCACCGCAGCCGGCCATCATAGGGCGTGCGCCACCCATCATCATGGGGTTCATGCCTCCCATCATGGGATTCATGCCACCCATCATCATGGCCATCATAGGGTTCATCATCATGGCCATCATCGGGTTCATCTGATTGGACTCTTTCTCATCTCCATCTTCTTTGTCATCTTGCAGCGAGGCAGCTTGCTGCAAGTACTTTTCAGACCACTTCTCTTCGTAGTCATCCTTGGACCCACAAGCGACTGCACTCAGGTTGGCACACACACACACGTCACACAAAGCCTCTTTGACAACAACCTGTGTTGGTGCGAAGCTAAAGCAAATTTAAATGCAACTTGGAGTCCTGAGTAGCTGGACCTTCAGACTCTTTCTTCTCCTTCAGAAGCTGGCAAAGTCGATGTTAAACAAGCCACACAAAATAGGACACTTGGGAACTTGCTGGACCTGCTGTGGGGTCCGAACCTGTCGTATGACTTGACTGGTAGCAGCGTAGCATGTTTCTACGCATGTGAAGAATGCCCACGAGCTCTGCTTGCAGGGCACAGTCAATTTGGCGGCGTTCGAAATAAACACGCATCGTGCCAGGATGCCTTTGTGAAAGTTGGGCCACGTGTCAAGAATGACAAGTACAATCAGACCCTGGGATCTCTATGGATCTCCATGACTTCACTCCTTTTCGTTCACCCTGTCTGATCCGTTTAACGTGCCTTCTCTCTTTGCACCATATCCTTGGCTCGTTCTGCATGTTGTGCAGCCTGGAAAGCTGAACCGCCATGAGGCCGTACTGCGACCCACCTCAGCCGCGAGCAGATCTGCGGAGCCTCCCTTCCCCAACGAGATGCACACAACACGCCCCATGGCCATCACAGGTGAGAAGTCACCGGTCAGAAGCGCTGTAAGTAGACATGGACAAGGCGCTTGTTGTCAATCATATGGCTAGCTTTGGCCTCTATGACCTTCGAGACCGATTCCTGCAGGTAGGGCAGCAGCATATTGACCATTGACCCAGGTGCTTGATTAAACCTGTGGCCATGGTCATGACTTAAAGCTCGCCTTGTCAATGAACTTGACAAAGGCGAATCCTCTTGAGGTTCCGTCTGGGAGTCTCTTAATGTCAACGCTCTCGACCTGCAGAGCTAGAATCTACAAAGAGTGAATCTTGCCAGAGAAAGCGACATCTTAAGATTTTTTTGCAGGAAGAGTGCCATACACAGCCTTTAGCCAAACCTGCACCATTTCAGAATTCATGTCTATGACATGCCATGCCTGGCCATACTTGGCAAAGTGGCCGGCCACTTTGTCTTCCGTGGTGCTCTTCCGCAGGCCACCGACAAAGACCGTGGTCACCTGCGGCGGCCCCGCTGCCTGGGGGTGCCCCCCCCAACTTGAGGTCAGGAACGTGAACAAACAAATAGTTGTGGTGTTTGCGTGTCAAATCATTGTTCCTAGCAGCCTCCTTGCTCCTAGTAGCGATGCCAGGAGCCCCTAGTAGTGTCCTTGCTCCTAGTAGCGATGCCCTTTGCTCCTAGTAGCTTCTTGTTCCTAGATTCCTAATAAGTTTTACTGATGTATGAGATGCTACATATAGTGTACATGTGAAGTGATGACAAATTTCAAAGCACTTCAGATCTGTCGGGGATGAGTGTGTGACAGATGTGGGAGGTGGCATGACGAAAGCAATGTGAGGACACGACAAATGAGATGAACATTAAATACATCATATATACTACAGTATCACATATATTTATATATCATATATATATATAGACCTTGATAGGCTTAGACTCAATCAAGGTGAAGCAGTGAAGCAACATCAAATGGATCGAGGGGACCTTGGCTGGATATATTCGAGACGAGGCGACCATTGCATCCAGGCCACACAGGGGGCTACTAACGGTTACGATCAAAGACCTCCTGCCACCACCAAGCTGATGCTGGCTTTGGAATAGAAGTTGCCTATCCGAAATCTCCTATCCAATTTCTGTATTAGTGAGGGGTCACTATTCAGTTTTGATCGGAGGGGTCCTGTCCAGCATCCAAACTTTGATTTTTGATTGCTGGGGCCATCAGGATAGCTGCACTGTTCGTTTGTTGTGTTATCCAGAAATATCAAGAATCTTGCAGGCAACTGCCTTGATTTGCCATACTAATTACACCCTCGTGGCACTTCCGAATCCTCCTATGGGTGCTTCACGTGAAGCTGAGGTCCACGAATAATCCAACAGCACAACCCAAGGCTTTCGGGAACATACACATGCAAAAACGCTGTAAGTGGAGGTGGGCCGCTTCTGCACTGGCGGTAGCACAGCCAATACTATGAGTAAATTTTATATAACTAATTAACTGATTCCTTCATTGACATTCCTTATGACTACTTATGATCCAGCCTTTTCCGCGTCTTTGGCCGCAGCTTTTTTGGTGACCACAGCCTGCGAGGCATGAGATGCGCAAGAAGCGCGGCAAACTGACTGAATTGTTGAATTGTAGACATTGAGGATGATCGATGGATGCAAGGCTTGAGGTGGTGAGCCTCAAATCTGGCTTGCTTGATCCTTTCTGCCTGGATGGCTCCTGTCACCCAGCACGAAAAGGACATAAAAGGACCAAAGGCCTCCAACCTAATAGCGACGGCCTCCAACCTGCATTGCTCCTTACTGATCCCATATCTGTCCTGCATCTGGCACAGGGGCTCCTCCTTGCATTCCAGGCATCGCGCCGGACATCATTCCCATGCCCTCGGCACAAGTTCAGCCAGGCATGAGGACGTGCGAAGGGCGTCGTCCCGAGCGTTTGAACAAAAGAAACCCTTCAAGCAAGCAAGGCCCAAACCCCTCGAATGCGGATAGAGCATTTATGTTAAAGGTAATAGGTTGCTAATGGTGCAGGGTATTGACATTCAAGACTTACGTAGTGGTCCGGAGTCCTAAGTTTCCTTAGGGCCGGGCTCCTCCCATCATTGGCATGCCCATGCCGGGCATGCCCATGCCTGGGTTCATCTTTAGAACCTGCACTGCACATAGGCGAAAAACATACAGGCACATACCGCATCTTGCTTTCGGCTTTCTGACGCACTTCACCACCTCAAAGCGTATGGCCCCATTGTAAGGACAGCATTAACAACCTAGTCTTCAGGCAAATGCATGCGACCGTATCCGTTTGCCACAGCCTGGCGCTAAACCAGGTACAAACCCTGGGAGCCACATCTGCCAGCTGCGGTTGAGGTACCCAAATGCACTGAGCCACACCCAGCACCACTGCAAAGTCCTAATACTATTCGCTGCTATGTGCGTACCATAGTTGCACATGCATACATATATATATATATGTATCATATCATATATAAATATGTAGCATATCATATATAAATATATACATACACGTGTGCGTGCGAGCTTCGCAGTCAGTCAGTGCATGAGAAAACAACAAGAAAGCGGCTTAACCCTGTTTTTCGCCTTGAGACTTGGCAACTCACGTTCCACATCTTTTGGTCTGCATTCCTTGACAGTTTTGTGGCATGGCCATCCGGTAGGCCTTATACGTATATATAAGTCGACGTGACCTTGTAGGCCCCTTTCAGCTATGTGTGGCTGTGCATGTGTGGCCTCCAACTAACTAACAGGATCTAACAATGTTTAGACTGAACATGGAACACAAAGCGCTTCCGCAGATTCATTGGCATGACCATCTCATCGTGCGTGCCACCATGTGCCACCTTTTCGGCACAAACCCCGTTTTCCCAGCCAAAGGGTGTCGCGGCAAGACCGGGAGTTTCGTTTTGTACTTGGACTTTGCAGATTTAGGGCTTGAGCTCCAAACTCTACCGATGGCATCCTCTACAAGTGGCAGCAGCGCCACTAAACACAGCCGAGTGCCAAGATGGCTCGTCAGAGAAGACTCACACAGGTGTGATCAACATCATCGCCACCTTGACCGAAGTGGTTTGGAAGCAAATCGAGCCAATCGCTGAAGGAGCCAGCCAAGACAAGGATGGCTTAAAAAAGTCATGACATCCTCGACGAGAATTTGGAAGCGCAACATAGCGCAACATCAAGCTGCACACCCAGGTGACCAAATGTTTCTGGCTCCGTCCAAGCGGCAGCTGCTTGACCCAAAAACATAACAAAAGCAGCTTGTACAATCACAATGTGGCCGAACCCTACTACAGGAGGCCAAAGTTGAAGCAACATGAAGCAGCCATAATGCACTACCTGTTTGGGAGGGCTTTGAAGAAGCCCACTTCGAGGATGAGGACTTCTGGCCCAACCACTTCATAGCCACACCACAGCAGGCCCTTGAACAAGGAAAAAGGAGACAAATGATTTACAAATGATGTATGCGATTCCGAAAGCGTCACAGGCCACCATGATGGTTTCTCCAGCTACCAGCTACCATCGCGGCTGCGGTACCCCACTCAACATCCAGAACCACCTTCTGACACATTTGGCCAACACAACTTTATGTTTTTTGACTTTGTTCACCTTGTTTGTGGCCCTCCTGGCCAATGTTCTTTGGTACTTGGGCACTACCAGTACATCCTGGACAAGGTCCTTGACCACCATGACAGCGACCCCATCCAAGATTGCAGTCTTGGACAACCGAGCCTTTGACCAGGCCTAATGATTAGGGCCTAATGTCACAAAGCTATTGGGGGCCGGTCAAAAACATCTACTGTAAAAGGAGCGAGCTGCTCAACAGCCAAAGTCCACAGGGCGACCGAGACCTTCGACCAAACAAATGAACAACAACGGCTAAAGAGCCGAAAATGACGCCAGGAGAAAGGACGCTACTAGGGCTCCTGGCCTTACTACTAGGAACAAGCTACTCATGTTTGCCTATAAAGCATAGACACCAAAGAGTGCAAAAGAATGCAAACGATATTTGTCGGCCATTTGTGGGCGGCAGCAGCAGCAGCACCCTCCAGCCCTCAAGCTCTGAAGCGAGCATGGCCGTCGGCATCTCAAAGCTGCACCCTGGAGCAGCACCAGCACCCAAGCTCTCGAAGTAAGAATCCTAAAGAATGAGCGTCTCAACGAACATAGAGTACAGAAGAAGTGGCTTCAAACTCAGAAGGAAGCTGCGACGCTGACACAAGTCAAGAAGCTAACAAAACGACCAAGGGATGAGGCCACGGGCTCCAGAGTCCAGAGGTATGCTGGTGAGAGGCTGTAATGGCTGCAGTTGTTATAGTGCTTTTCTCCTTGTATATTTGTCTTCGCTGTGGTTCTAGCTTTTCTTGTGTCCGTGTTGTTATATAGCAGCAAAGGCTCAGCGGATGATGGGAGTGGGGAGTTCCATGGGGTCTTCTCTTCTCCTTGTATGTTTTTCGTGGCTTTGGTTCCGCGTTTCTAAAAAAACGCAGGTGCGCGTGTAGTGCTCACACGCTCCACGGGCCCCACAGGCGACATTTCACAGGCCTCTTTACCGGGCCCAGATCGGACTAGTAGCGTCCTTGCTGCTAGTAGCAATGCCAGGAGCCCCTAGTAGCCCTAGTAGGGCCCAACAAAACCATATCACAAAATCATCAAAACATCACAAGCAACACATACCCCACCGCAAGGCAAACGCTCAAAAGATGCGACTTAAAACAAGAAGATACGACTCGTCTCAACAACTAGTAGAGGGCGAGAATTGGAACAAGAGGTTGACAAACTCGGGGCACAAGGATTTGCGCAACTCAGCTCATAGTCGCCTCCTCGAACAACGCCAAATTCACGATGAACAGTTCGAGACGATGAGGAGGTGAAAGTGAGAGCAGCCAAACATAGAGGTCATAGAGTCCCAAAGGCCATCCACGCGGAAACGCGCGGACACCTACCGCACTGGAGAGCATGGAGAATGCTGGCACTCATCCTGCGATTGCGCGCGGCAAAACGTGTAAATGCCGCGCTCATGACACTGCTCATGACCTGGGCCAACCACAGTTGGTTGAAAGCTCAAAAGAAGACGAAGCAGCTCGAGTTGCCATTACCACTTACTAACTAATCTCATCGGCATGAGCGTCCTATCATCATTGTGGCAGGTTCTTGGCTCAAATCCCCTTTTCCTGAGCTTAAGGGTTGGGACACTTGCGCGCACGACTTGCGTTTCTCGCGCCTAAGGCCGCGAGCTTCGTTTTGCACTTGGACTTTGTGAGTTCACACTTCGTGAAAGATTCCACCCAGGTTGCTCCCATCCAAGCACCCTGTTCCATCCTTTTCCGCCCTACAGGCGCACTACGACTATCACGCGCATCACGAGCCGATTCCAGACCATTCCAGAAAGGCAAGAATGTCCGTTGGGTGTGGCCGCTCCGGTGACGTTGTGGATTTATTGAGCAGCTGCAGCTACACTACTCTCATGAATTTGGTGCGGTACTCCTCACCCCCGTGTTCTGTTGAATTGGTATTCTTCCCCAACAATTATATAGATGATCCAAGCTCCAGCAAGCTTCTGTCATTTTAAGACGTCTTGGAATCGTGCCCCAGATTTCGCTTCCTGTTGCGAGCATCGCCAAGGCCACGGCCAGCACGGGCCGCCCTAGATGCTACTTGACACTCCCTCGAGTCACCACACAAGTCACTCTGGGATGAGTGAAAGAACGTGGGCTTAGTAATGCAAATACAAGGTCTGCTTACAAACTTGGAGGGCATCGCTAGTACAAGTTGGAGGCCATCTCTTCCAGGTTACAGACGACAGATTTAATTTTAGAGCGATTGAGCCACTGTATGGGCTTTCGCTTAAAATGCTTGAGGTTGGACCCTTTGGGCCACAGTTGAGCCGCTGTCCGGCTCATTCCTCCGGTTCAACTGCAGGGGCCGAGTTGTAGGGCTGAGGCCTCACCAAAAAGCAGCAAACGCAGTGATTCCATTAAATGAATCCTGGCTTTCAATCTGACACTGGTTGCATAATGGTGAATCCCTGCACCAAAATGTCTGAGGCCGGAACTCGGAATGCTCTGGCCCCATCCACCACACACCCCTTGGGCCTTCATAGTACCTGAAATCAAAAATCAAAGCCCTGTGCAAAAAAAAGCCTTCCCGGGTTGAGTTCATTGCGCGAAGTCGAAGAAACTTCGTTGGCATGGGCTCTTTTTGAGGGAAATGGGCAACATCTGAAACCTGACAGCCCCCATACATGGGCACATTATGATGATCATGGGTATCTTTGAAGCAGGCGAGGGTGTACTATTGGTGGCATCCCTTCCTTTGAGACTGACCTGCTTCACCACCTTGTGCTGCCCAGGGTGCCACCAAATCGTGGTATTGTCATCATACTGTGTCCAGTGCTTGCCAGGCCTCGGTTCGCATGCTATTTGACAGGCGCTGCTGCGCTGCTCTTCACCCTCTCCTTTTCAATTACATTTTTGCATATTAGAACGTAGAGACACTGCTTTACAGTTGATCTTCACGCCAAGTTGCGGGTTCTTGGGTTTTCTGTTGTTGATCTCCGTCTGTTGCACAGGCAATGAGTTTCCAATAATATCCGTCTGTTGCCAATTGGGTTCTTCAATCCCTCATACTTGTAATTCAACGGCAGTGAACACTGCATAATGCGGGCAGAATTGCCCTGCATTGAACCAGGTGCTACCAAGCAAGCTCAATGTGAGTCTAACATGTGCCCGCCTTTACCTGAGACACTCCCGGGGTATCATCGGCTTCTGGCTCATCCTCATCATAGTCCACCTAGGCGATCGCTGTAAACTGGTCATGAGCCATGGCCCTTTGCTCAGATTTCTTCACATTCCAGCCGGCTTGGGAAGAATTTATATATTTCTTGATTCTGCGACCCCAATCCGCTCCAGTTGTACCAGGCGCTCATCTTTGGCGCGCTGAGCCATTCCATGCTCAACGCAGGTGGATGACGACACTTAGTTTAGTTTGACAGCTGTCCTATACTGTCCTGATCCTCTGGCTTCTGCTGTCGATTTCTTCTTTTTGTGTGTCCTGTTCCTTCACTGATGTTTCCAGGTTACTAAGGTTATACTGACTCGACGTGACAAGACCGCACATCATCTTGGGCATGGCGACCACCTATCAAAGTTCAGGAATCAGTCTGCTAAAAAGCAATTTTCAAACGATGTGCCTTACCAGGGTGGGACAGTCCACCACCTACCATAATTAAAGGGAGTATTTTGAGGTGGGTATACCACCTACTGTTGATTGATTCTGAGAGCCCGGACTGTCTGAAATTGATTTTCAAATCTTGTAACATGATGCAACTTGGAGAAGGAGGGGTGGGTCCCCCCAAAAATTGACCGGGTGATTCATGGATAATTTGCCGCGTTCGTACTTGACATTGCTGTGCTGAGAATATCATTTTGGGGGTGGGGGACGTCCCTGATGCCCTTGGATGGTATCACTCGATAGCATTTTCCCTGCACACTGCTCTCCTGTGAAATTTGTTTTCGGGGTGGGAAACCCCTCCTGAGCCCCTTCAATGCACCACTTGGTGAGGGTTGGGGCCTCATAGTTGGTACACTGGCCATAAGATTGGTATGGTGACAGCCAGTACTTGAGCAACTACTCTGAGAAAACAAACATGGCAAGCACAAAGAACGCAGCCAATATGCTTGGGGGTCCGCATACAGCAGGAATGGAAATAGACACACACACATATATATATGTACAGTATAATAGTGTATATATATATTATACTGTAATCAACCTTATTTCCTGGGTGGTTGAATGCTTGGTTCACCCTACGAATAGAATCTGGCATATCTGGCACAAGCAAAAAATGCACGCGTTCCCACATCTGAGATCTCCATCTTGCTAATTTGGAATACGTTCCTAATTATTTTGGACCCTTTGACTCTAAACGAGAAAACAAGTTTGACCCCCACCACCACTACTCCCTGTTTACAATATATACTATCGATGTGCAAATTATTTTGAAACCAATATTTCAGGTAATACTGCCACCTATGAAATAATTTCTGATGGCATGGGACGTTTCAAAAGCTTATCATGATCAGGGTTTGTGCTAGGTGCTAAAGGCATCCCAGTTTCTTGGCTTCAACTTGGGAAGCGCAAATAACAAATTGAACGATCAGCAAAGTTATTGAGAGCCACTTGGCTGTTCTATTTTCTCCGTATGTCTTTGTTTTCTCCTTTTGCTTCTGCCATCCTGTTGCTGTTTTCTTTGCTTCTGTCTTGTCGTGGTTGCCACCCACTACAATTGGGTATTGTGCTCATATTAGAAAACTGGCTGCTGTTCGTGCTGTGCTTTCCTGTTGCTCTTTCTGTTGCTGCTGCTGCTGCTGCTGAAACAGTGATTCCCGGCCTTTTTATGTCACACCCAAATCTGCCAAAGCTTGTTCTGATCCTCCAATCGTGTATGTGGGGCTGTGGCCCCTCTTCTTTTGCATTTGAGTTCTTGCTGTGTTTGTCACTGCTGTGATCTGTTTGGGGGATCTGTTGGGGCATTCTGAGAAGTCTCTTACATTGTCCCACGCCATTCCCTCAGCAAGGTGCCTCTTCTTTCTGGACATGAGTTGGCGCTTCAAAGGCCTCGGCTCGCCGCAAGCAGCCGCAAGCTGCTGATCAAATTGTCACTCGTTCACACTTACACTCTATCCTTCTCTTTCTCTCCACATCTCTTCATCTCTGTCCCTCTTTCTTTTCAATAATTACAGTAAGATTAAACAACACAATCTATACCATATAGGATTCCAGCATTGAACCGCGCTGGTTGCGAGCGTGCCGGCTGTGCCTGTGATGGCCTCTTCAGCTGAGCTGTAGCTGCAAATCTGTCTACAGTAAAAGTCCAAAAGCGAAGGCTTTGCATGAGCCTTCTATCTTTCCTCCAGTGTATGTGAAAATGCTATCTGCTAGTACACCTATCTCAAGAATCACCTGGTCTGTGCAGTACTTAGCTCCTCTTTGCGCCTCGTTGTTGTTGTATGCGACTTCCACGGTTGCGGCTCAGGCGGCTGTTGCCGCGCATTGCGGTCAATCTAGGCCATCAAACATCTCTACGAAAGCACTGGTCAAGCAAAGGCTCAATTGGAAACAGGGTGACATGGGAGCAAAGACTAGGTTGGAAATGCACACCCTGCACCGGCGTTCATCAGATCGGTTTAGGACGATCCTCGCCTTGAAATCTGTTCGCACTACTTTGAATCACAATCCTCGCTCAGCCCCTAGTAGTTTCTTGTTCCTAGTAGCAAGGCCAGGAGCCCCTAGTAGCGTCCTTGCTCCTAGTAGCAATGCCAGGAGCCCCTAGTAGCTTCTTGTTCCTAGTAGTTGCGGTTTGTTAAACAAAGTCTATCTACAATTCTACGGTATGTCATTCGTAGAGTTCAGTACCCCTACTCTGTCGTCGCGGGCCTTCCTCACACGGTCCTGGGCGTCGATGGCAAAGCGGCCCTCCTGGTCGGTCTCCTTGGGCATCGATAGCATGCAATCTGCCACTCGTTATTTGGCAGTGGGGTGGGAATAGAACTAGAGGTGGGAGGTAAGAAGGCAAAGCGCTGCAACAGTCTACCCTACAAGTTGGACACCTTCACATGATTGAGAATGAGTGCTCCAACTAAACAAACTAAACTAGCTGACTCAGTAAGAGACTGAGAAAGGATATACATAACTGCCAAAGCCCTGCTCCAATTCCCGCCTGCAGAAAGGTCTTAACCTCTTCAATGCTAGTGAGGCCAAAGTCGGGCTTCCTTCGAGCACAACTGCTGGCGCAAACACAAGATATGAATAATGGTCCGATTTTCTGTTTGGAAAATGGGCGTTTGGATCATGATTGCAGTATTGACCCGTATTAACATGTATTAACTGCCATCGTGCACCTGCTACATGGACACCTTACCCTGGCTTGGTGATGGATCCGCCTCTGCTGCATCGCGTCCACAATGGATTGCAAGTCTGCGTAGCCCTCTCTATCTGCATTCACGCCTTCCTGCGCAAATTGTGCGAACTGGGACCTTCGGACCTTCAGGCTGACCGGTGGCATGTTTGGGTGCTGTTCTGTCCTGCCAGCCATTCTTCAACAAGTAAGCCATGTATCTTTGGATCTGCTCAGCCTTGTCATAGCTACCTGGAGGTGTGATAAGGCTGCGAGTGGCGGAGTGGAAAATCCTGTGTTGTGGTGACCTCGCCTTGTCTGCCGCCGCGATTGTTCCAAGACCTCGCAAAAGATATGTTTTGATATTCATAGTCAATTCATAGTGTTTCCCAAGCAGTGAAGTATGGCAAAGGCTCGTTGCGGTGTGAGAAGGAGCCATTACAAGCGGTTAGCTGAAAATACTGTACTGCAATCACATCATTGGCGCAAAGCTCTTTTGACTCGAATGACTCCGCAACAAGGCGGCAGTGCTTTTCTCTCAGAGGCCCCAGCGTGGAGTTTTGTGTGCTCTGCGAGCCCTGCTGCAAGCGCCTGCAAGCAACGGTCAGGGCTCCACATGGGACAAAGTTCAATGGAGAAGTGTGGAGGTGTCCTTGGGGCCAATTCAGTGGCACGGGCAAGAGCCAGTGTGCAGCCTATTTTAAGCGTAACGCTTGCCGCAGAGCTGGAACCGACCGCAAAGCTGACAGTGGAGCTGGTGCTGGGTTACCCAACCAACCAGCGGCGTTTCCACGCTTGTTCCAATTCTCTGACGGTTCTGACCTCGGCCCAAATTCACTGATACAGCTAGGAGTCGCCACTAAGCTTGGGTCTACAGTCGATCAAGGGTTGAGACTCTCAGTGAATCAAACCAAAATAGGCCCTCTCTCAAATGTTCCTGATCAGTTCCAGTGTCCTTCATGTTGAAACTTCACGTCTGAGCGTGGCGCTTCACCCATGACTCAGTGTGGTTACCATTCGATGAATGGTTGTCCTGAGAAGGTCAGTGCAGGGGTGTCTAGTCTTGTGCTGGCACAAGCTCTCAAAGGGCTGCATTTCTGTGCACGTCCAGCTGCGCCTGGTGAATGGATTTAAGGGTCTGGCCCAATCATTCTTTTTGTTCCAGGACTGGTCTGACTTCCAGGAATCTTGCTTGTCATTGTTCTGATTCTTAGCCTCGAGTCTCGCAGCGGCGGCATGTAAATACAGTGCCCAGAAACTCCCTGAAGTCAACCAACGCCTTTGCAACATACGCCAAGTGCTATTTGTGGGGATTATCACGGCCAGAGATTGCACAAGTTACCGTCTTTGTTCTTTATATAATGACTGTGTACTGCTTCCCTGCTGTGCTTGCAATCTTTTGCTGTTTCTTTGCAATGGTTGATTCTGCTGTCTATTACCTTTCTCAGTGTTGCTGTTCAGCTTTGGCTTTCGTGCGCAAATTCAACTCGTGTCTATTCTGTGTTTGCTCCAAGCGACCTTACAGCATGTGTGAGACACCAGTTGGCGCACCACACTACACAGTCAGGCGGTCTCCTTTCTGAGACAGCAGGACCTGCGGCATATATGTGTATATATATATATATGCGTGTGTGTGTGTGTGAAATATGTAAATAAATATATTCTTACATAACATATATATATATGATATGGTATCTAGACATATCATTGGACTGACTCGGAAGGACTGGACTTGGTGCCCAAGCAGCATCCCAGAAAGTGTTTGGTTGTCTGCTATTGTCTTGCTGCGCTGTGTTTGACAAATGCAAGATTTCTGGTTTGGTTGGAAGGACCCCTTTCCAGCTGTCCTGTCCGGTATTCTTGCCACACAGCTCACCAAAACATGTCTGTATGCTGGGGTTGCTATGAACTTTGACACGTTCGACTCTTGCATCATCTTTTTTGTTGATTGTGCTTGTTGTGGGCTCGGTGTGGCCACAATAGTGCCTAATTAGGCAAGATTGCGGTCTCCACAATGACTGCAAGGCGTTTTGATGAATTCGCGGGTTACAATGCCAAAGCAGTGACAGATCACACGGACCTGACACACCGTGTGGCTAGACACATCCCACAATCCAGGGACGAGGCCGAGGAAGGGCATGTGCAACAGTGCAACTCAACAGTGCAACTCGTGTTCTAAGGCGCACTCAGCGGAACACAACTGTCTCGAGGCTACATCTACTGGCGCCAGCCAAACACCCTCTCAACATGCCTTGCCCCTGCTTCTACTAGGTCCACAAGGAAACTCAAGGTGGTTGCATCATCTCTATACAAAACTACTGCGTAACCATGGAACCAGAACGAGACATCTGAATCTCATTGCACATTTTTTCCGAGGCCCATGCTCCCCAACTGCTGTTGCCGTTCCAGCTTGATGATGACCAACTGCTAGTCTTCTCTGAGTTGCTCGGCCATTCTGGCAGACTCTGTGAGCGGGAGGCTGTCCCCAATGCCAGCTGAATCTTGCTCAACCCCCCCTTCATGTGGTAAAGGACACAAGGGCCAGCTCAACATGTCGAAGATCAACGCACTTACTCGGACTTTACGGATACAGCTCAACATTGCATCTATATCATCTATTATCCACCGACCCCGGCCTATAGCCAAAGCCTAGGCGGGGAGGCGCCTGGGACACCGCAGGGTGAAGCAGTTGGCCAAGTCTTCAAGCCCCTCGGCAGCAGGCCTGCCTCTTCTCTTCTAATCGCAGGCCTGCCTCTTCTCTTCTTATGGGCTTCCAAAAGCGACGTTTTGGCCTACTCCTGCACCGCAGCCTTGCCCTCTTCCTCTTCTCGGCAGCTCGCAGGCCTGCCTCTTCTCTTCTTATGGGCTTCCAAAAGCGACGTTAGGCATTTTGCACCGCCTTCAAACCCTCCCCCGCGACTTCAAACCCTTCCCAGCGCCTTTGGCCTACTCCTGCATCGCAGCCTTGCCTGCGTCAGGCGGGAGCCTGGGGAGAGAGCCCTGGAACGTGCAGCCCGTGCACGTTAAGGCTTCCAAAAGCGACGTTAGGCATTTTGCACCGCCTTCAAACCCTCCCCCGCGGCTGCAAACCCTTCCCAGGTTTTGCCCTCCCCCGCGGCTTCAAACCCTTCCCAGCGCCTTTGGCCTACTCCTGCGTCGCAGCCTTGCCTGCGTCAGGCGGGAGCCTGGGGAGAGAGCCTCTGGAACGTGCAGCCCGTGCACTGCAGCCCCAGCGCCTTTGGCCTACTCCTGCATCGCAACCGCAGGCTTGCCCTCTTATCGGCAGCAGGCCTGCCCTCCGCAGCGCCTGCAAA